AGACCACATACAGGTTATAGACCTCATTACTGTGATGTATGTGGGAATGGGTTAGTCATCTTATTGATTTAAAGAGGCATATGAAAATACATACAGGCAAAATATGTAAACTTCACATTTGTCAGTTTGTGGTGTACCAAACAAATGTATGAAAATACATACAGGCAAATTACCTTATGACTGTAATGTATGTGGTACAGGGTTTTGTTAGCATTGTAATTTACATATTGACATGAAAACATATTAATCGCATGACTGTTGTGTATATGGTAAAGGGTTTAGCTAGCCTATAGATATGTAAAGAGACACATGAGAACACATAAGGTGAATAATCTCTTGACTGTATGTGGTAAAGGTTTTAATCAGCATGTTGACTCAAAGAGACACATTTGAATACATAATGGGATAAAACTCTGAAATTAGATGTTTGAGGTTGGACAATGTTGGAGGTTCAATATGAGTGATAATCTACATACTTAGATATTTAGAACATATACTAGTAAATAAGTGATAATTTACGTAAACACACACATGAGAACCCATACTAGTGATAAGTGATAATTTACATAGACACATGAGAACCCATACTAGTGATAAGTGATAATTTACGTAGACACATGAGAACCCATACTAGTGATAAGTGATAATTTACAGACACATGATAAAATTGAGAATGGAAATGACACATGAGAACACATACTAGAAAATAAGTGATAATATACGTAGAGACATGTACGAGAAATCATAGTAGTGATAACTTACGTAGACATATGAGAACAAATATAAGTGATAATTTATATAGACACATGAGAACACATACAGGTGATTAATATTTTGACTGTATTGTGGTAAAGGTTTAAGTCAGCATGTTTACTTAATACACATAAAGGGGATAAAACTCTGAAATGAGATGTTTGAGGTTGGGGGTTCAATATGAGTGATAATCTACTTACTAAAGACATGAGAACACAAACTAGTAAATAAGTGATATAAACATGAATAATTTACAATTGCATATATGTTTTTATGCCCCATTTATGGGCATTATGTTTTCTGTTCTGTGCATCCGTTCGTCCGTCCGTCTTTCCCGCTTCAGGTTAAAGTTTTTGGTTAAAGTTTTTGGTCAAGGTAGTTTTTAATGAAGTTGAAGTTCTATCAACTTGAAACTTAGTACACATGTTCCTTGTGACATGATCTTTCTAATTTTAATGCCAAATTAGAATTTTGACCACAATTTAACGGTCCACTGAACATAGAAAGTGATAGTGCGATTGGGGCATCCGTGTTCTATGGACACATATTCTTGTTTTATATCTATTCCGACAGACTGACCCGGATTATTCATGCAAAATATCCATAAACCAACAAATGAAAAAACCCAGGCCATGTGCTGCTCTTCGTTGTATGCGCTCTATATAATGCGGTTAAATGTCTTTCTGTAGATATAGGTCATATACAGTGCCCGAGTAACCCAAGACAGAACGAACAAGTGAGATGTAGGCAGTTTCCTTAAAATGTTTATTGTAGTGTTTAAGGTTCCTTTTAATAAATCTAAGTGTGGAATTAGTTTTTATTGTCAAATTTGTTAATATGAGATGACCATTTCAAAGTATCAATAATGATAAATCCTAAGCACAGATTTTCACTGACTTTTTCAAAAACGTGATTACTTAGTATATATATACATGTAACTGTGTGTTAACGGTGACCTGGATTACTTAGTATATATATACATGTAACTGTGTGTTAACGGGGACCTGGATTACTTAGTATATATATACATGCAACTGTGTGTTAACGGGGACCTGGATTACTTAGTATATATATACATGTAACTGTGTGTTAACGGGGACCTGGATTACTTAGTATATATATACATGTAACTGTGTGTTAACGGGGACCTGGATTACTTAGTATATATATACATGTAACTGTGTGTTAACGGTGACCTGGATTACTTAGTAAATATATATGCATGTAACTGTGTGTTAACGGTGACCTGGATTACTTAGTATATATATACATGTAACTGTGTGTTAACGGTGACCTGGACCACTTAGTATATATATACATGTAACTGTGTGTTAACGGTGACCTGGATTACTTAGTATATATATACATGTAACTGTGTGTTAACGGTGACCTGGATTACTTAGTATATATATATATATATATATACATGTAACTGCATGTAACTGTGTGTTAACGGTGACCTGGATTGCTTAGTATATATATACATGTAACTGTGTGTTAAAGGTGACCTGGATTACTAAGAATATATATACATGTTACTGTGTGTTAACGGTGACCTGGATTACTTAGTATATATATATATGTAACTGTGTGTTAACGGGGACCTGGATTACTTAGTATATATATATACATGTAACTGTGTGTTAACGGGGACCTGGATTACTTAGTATATATATACATGTAACTTTGTGTTAACGGTGACCTGCTACGTACGGTGATTTGGCACAACATATAGCATTTGCTGGCATTGAAATGCATATCCCAGTCCTTTGCCCAATTTTGTAACGAGTTTAGATCCTTCTGTATTTGAAGTTGGTCCTGTGGTGTGTTGATGTTACTATACAGAAAACAGACGTACTTGTGATTTTACACAGAGTAGCAAGTCATTAATATGACATAGAAAAAGAAGGGGATCGAGAACTGTTCCCTTGGGCACCCCTGAGTCGACAGAGCAAGATGAAGAAAATTTTCCTTCGACGATAACTCGCTGTTAACGTTGCATAAATTGACTGAATAGAATTATTTTGTTATCAACACACATTGTATTCCAGTATACTAGTTTATGCAAATCAAAGGGGAAATAATAATTTGGTTGCGTCAATACAATTATTCGGCGATTTTTTTCACCAAACTTTAACATCATGTTCAAATAATAAACATGCAACTAGCGTACTAGACAACAATAGAAAAAAATCAAAAAAATCAGGGCGAATGGACCCTGGGCGAACAGGTGTCAGGGCGAATGGACCCTGGGCGAACAGGTGTCAGGGTGAAAAGGTACTTAGGCGAACGTGGATCGACAGGGCGAACGGACCCGGATTCACATTTGGAATTATTTAATCCATACAAACACAGGTGTGTGATACAGGTCGGTAATTTGCTGCTGTCTGTCTGTCTCCTTTTATAGATATTGGACTGATATTTGCATTTCTTCAGTCAGATGGGACAGTCAAGACAAAGCTGGAATATGTGACTCACTACTGGTGCTAGCTGCGGAACCGTAGCTCTTAGGTCCTTATGTTATTTTTTGACTATTTGCGGAAATAGTACTGATAAGAACAAACTATAAATATCAGTTAAAAAGGGCTTAACTCGTCAGGTCAATATACAGCTCAAAACTAACAAAAATGCAAAAGCCACAGAGCACATATCGGTTACTGAGAGTCTGAGAGAGTGAGAGTAGGTCTAAAACCAATACTGTTAATTCAGAAATTATTGCGTTCATTTATTACACGCAATTATAATTGCTATTTTTGAAGAAATAACAAAAAATGAGAGTATACATATTGCGATATTAGGAAAAGCCACATACACATGTATTTGATATCAGAATACAAGTTCTTATTATTGGGATACTCAAGTAGTCACAATATTCACATTAATAAAAAACCTCGCAATAATTTCTGAATTTACAGTAACTACTTATAAAGAATGACATGTACCTATAGACTAAAAAAAAATCAACATACATCCCGCCTGACATGGTGACATCCAATGGATTTAGTGTAGTACACATCCCGCCTGACATGGTGACATCCAATGGATTTAGTGTAGTACACATCCCGCCTGACATGGTGACATCCAATGGATTTAGTGTAGTACACATCCCGCCTGACATGGTGACATCCAATGGATTTAGTGTAGTACACATCCCGCCTGACATGGTGACATCTAATGGATTTAGTGTAGTACACATCCCGCCTGACATGGTGACATCTAATGGATTTAGTGTAGTACACATCCCGCCTGACATGGTGACATTTAATGGATTTAGTGTAATACACATGCCGCCTGACATGGTGACATCCAATGGATTTAGTGTAGAACACATCCCGCCTGACATGGTGACATCTAATGGATTTAGTGTAAAGACTTCATTAAATTGATAGTAACTACTAATGAAAGACAATTTTATTTTCTATAAAGTTGCAATCCTGTTCTTCCTAGTTCATGGTCCATTACAATCAGTATCAGTATATCTCAGTTTGATGACTCTTTTGTACTGGTAGTAATCAATGGTAATGGAACATGAACTAGGAACAGGACCTCAAAATAGTCAACAAACTGATATGTACCGATACTGGTAGTAATCAATGGTAATGGACCATGAACTAGGGACAGGACCTCAAAATAGTCAACAAACTGAGATGTACCAATACTGGTAGTAATCAATGGTAATGGACCATGAACTAGGGACAGGATCTCAAAACAGTCATCAAACTGAGATGTACCAATACTCATGATCCTGGTAGTAATCAATGGTAATGAACCATGAACTAGGGACAGGACCAAAATAGTCAACAAACTGAGATGTACCGATACTGATAGTAATGGACCATGAACTAGGGACTGGACCTTAAAAGAGTGTCATGGTCTAGCACTTCATATTATTTAGCAATGTTGCTGTTCATCAGATTGGCCTTTCTGAATTTCTTTTCTGCAGACAGGCGAGACATATCTCTGTGTCAATTATCATTTTTAAAGGCAGTGCTTTAATGCCTTTCTGGTTGCCGGGTTAATCCTTCCTTCCGCGATATCCAACTGATCTACGTGGGGGGTCATTAGGCTCCAAGTAGATCCGGAAATGTTGAATTCTCTCCTCTTCTTATTGCGATATAAAATGTTTTTTGTTTCATTTCATTTACATTGGGAAATAGAGAAACGATCATTGTGTTTTGTTAGTTTTAAAAACTTTTGATATATTATTATTTTGCATTATGAGCAGTCAACCGATTGACAAACTAGAATTATTTGAATTCCGTGTGGAAAGAGCTCGGGTTAATTTCGAGTGTTATCTGCAATCTAGATGTTTATAAATCATTTCAGTCGTTGATATAATAATTAAAGGTCGACTGAACATGAATTATATTATACAATTTAAAGCGCATTTCTGTTTATGCACGTGAACCCGTCTAACGTTATTGTTATTTCGCAGTTATATAAAGTAGCAAATTATCGTTCCTGAATAGGTGGCGCCGTGGTAGCGGATCCTGTTCCTCAACTTCCGGTTTCTGCACTGTGCAACTATTTCAGTTATATTTTTAATTAACGATGCCAAGTACTTGTTGTTGTGTACCTGGATGTCATTTAAGAGGAGGACATGCATTTCCAAATGACTTAAAAAGAAGGAAAAGTTGGATCAACGCCATGGCCCATACGCAGATTGGACGAGAACACGATGATATCGTGGAGTCCATCTCAATTATCAGCTGTTGTTTGCAAGGCACGTTTTACTGAAAAAGACAACGTGCAGGAAACTATTCATGGTAAAACTCTATTTTCTTTGTGAAATATATAGTTATATATGTAATCGCCATGCGAATAAACCAAAGTCTGTTTACAACCGCAATTATCGTTTTAGAATAAAAGGGGGTGGGTAATTCAAGACGTCATAATTTTTTGGATTACGATTCAATGTGATCTGTTTGAGAATTTTTGGTGATTGCTACAATTATAATGATTTCTTACAAGAGGTATATCATACTGAGAATTATTTTAGCAGTAATTATGCTAATGTAGTAATGACAGGAATGCATAAGCTATGCCTCATAGACTTTCTTGAAAAATATCAATGACAATGTTAACAGGAACAAAACAATGACATGCTCTCATCTATATTATAGTTATTTAGGTACAAACAATGTACATTTGTTGCATAAGTTTCTCATTGTTTGTCCTTTGGATTTAAATAACATACATTGAATCAGGCAAACATAGTTTTATCCAGATTGTAATGAATAAATCTAGTTAATATTTCGCCAGGTAGTACAAAGTATACATTGCTAATGGAAGTTCATTTAATTATCAAAAAACTAATGTTTTATAACCTTTTTCAGGGCGCAAACCCACCATACAGAGACTTAAGTCTACTGCCATTCCCAGCCTATTTTCCTGGACCAAGCAAGAGACTGAATCGTCCGCAAAAAGAAAAATCAGGGCAGTTTCCTGTGAAAACAAAAGAACTAAACTTGATGAATATTGTAGTAGAAATCTAGAGGAAAGTTTTGATTGTAAAGTTGGTTTTCCTGAAGAAGTCATTCATACTGCAGAAAGGATTTATGACTGTCCACCACCAACTGCCGAGCTAATGTTAAGCTTCACAGATGGAATTACGCAATCACCATCAATGCCTATGTTTTCAGCAGAGAATTTTGAAATGAAGACTCGTGACACAGCCATGCATTTTTATACCGGTTTAGAGTTGTATACTAAATTTTTATTTGTTTTGACCACACTTGGTTCAGCAGCACATTGTTTGAGATACATATATTTTCAAATTGATAGGGTGTCAGTTGAAAATCAGTTTTTTTATGACTTTGATGAAATTGAGGCATTATACAACCAACTTTGAACTGTCTAGATTCTAGATTGAATCTAGTGTTAAGAATATTGTGTATACATGGATTGTTTTTATGTCTAAACAGTGGTGTGAGGCTAACACTTGGCCATCTAGTGGTTTAGTCAGGTATTTTTCACCATCCAACTTCAAATTAAAGTTTCCTACGACTTGGATTATTATTGACAGCACAGAATATCCCGTGATAAAACCTAAAGCTCCTAGAGCTCAGGCAACCTTTTCATCAAATGAAAACAGAAACACTGAAAATTCTTGAATGTTCGACACCTGGTGGTTTAGTCAACTATGTCTCTATGTCACATAGAGCGAATTATTGGACTTGGCAAAAAATACAAAATTCTAATAAATCCTATGAATGGAACTGAAACAAAACTTTCATCTGAAATAACATTTAGTTGTTTTATGTTGTGTAATTTTAGAACTTGTATTGTGCCAAAGGATGCATAAATAAAAGTGACGCAATGAATTTTGTTCTGATATATATATATTTATAATTACATGCACATGTAAATTGTAATGCATATAAAAATAAGGAGATGTGGTATGATATTCAGTGAGTTTATCGAACTAAAGTGCATAAGAAATGGGTTTAAGCAGTTACAGGTGTTACTGTCACCGTACAATCTCCAACAATGAGAAAAACTCGTACCCTGTAAAAAATTTCAGAGATCTTACAACTAAGTTTTGTTGTCTCACCTTGACTTTGGTGACTTTTTTATATCTGTTGATGTAAATATAAAAAAGAAGATGTGGTATGATTGCCAATGAGACAACTCTCCACAAGAGACAAAATGACACAGAAATTAACAGCTATAGGTCACAGTACGGCCTTCAACAATGAGCAAAGCCCATACCGCACAGTCAGCTATAAAAGGCCCCGAAATGACAATGTAAAACAATTCAAACAAGAAAACTAACGGCCTAATTTATGTACAAAAAATGAACAAATATAACAAATATGCAACACATAAACAAACGACACCCACTGAATTACACTTTTACAGGCTCCTGACTCGGGACAGGCACATACATGTACATACAGAATTAAACATGTTAGCGGGATCCCAACCCCCCCCCCCCCTAACCTGGGACAGTGGTGTAACAGTACAATATAAGAAATAACTATAAAAATCAGTTGAAAGAGGCTTAACTCATCAGATGGATAAATACAAATACAAGTGGACGTGGTCGGGTAGTTGTACATCCAAACAACAAAAAGACACTAAGTACAGATCTGAGAGTACTCGCAGTTACTGACAGCTAGTTCAAAGCCACTAACAACTGATAAAAAAATCTTGCATCTAAGACTAAATTATCAATCCATAAGCTCCCTTTAGAATTTTATAAATTTTAGATTTTACATTTCTGAGTTATGGGGTTTTATTCATTAAAAAAGGGGGGATTTTCCAGTTTTTGGACAACAACTCAAAAGTGCTTTAAGCAGTTCACATGAAACTTTGGTGAATTATTTATAGCTATTGATGTAATCTCCCTATTGATTTTCATAAATTTCAAATATGACATTGAGAAGAAATTGAACTTTATTTGTTTATAGTCTGGCAACAGATTTATTAAGTATTGCGCAACAGCACAGTGTATTGCACAACAGCAAGAAATCTTTAATTGAATATAAATTCAATTCATATAACCGATTTCAAGTTCATTGACTACATTTATTCAGAAACTATAATATGTCAAATATTTAATTACAATCCAAATTCAGACCTGTATCAAGCTTGAATATTGTGTCCATTTTTGCCCCAACTGTTCAGGGTTGGATCTCTGCGGGTGTATCCAGCTGCGCTCAGCGAATCAGTTTATTTCTTAATTAAGAACTCCTTTTTTCATTCATAAATTACTTTATGCTTGGAAATATAATTTTGCTTGGAGTTGAAAGAGTTGACATGTTGCAATGTACATTTATTCTACATAGTTCTATGGTACCAAATCAAAAGTTTATATAAAAGAAAGAAGTCAAAGGTTTCCCATCATAGTTTAGTTACATACATTTTTTTTGTACCTGAGGTCGTTGAATATAGATCATTATATAAATGAGGAGATGTGTTATGATTGCCAATGAAAAAACTAAGGATTTTCTTATCCAAGGAATAGATTGCCTTAGCCGTATTTGGCACAACTTTTTGGAATTTTGGGTCCTCAATGCTCTTGAACTTTGTACTTGTTTGGCTTTATTACTATTTTGATCTGAACGTCACTGATGTGTCTTATGTAGACGAAACACGCGTCTGGCGTTTTAAAATATAATCCTGGTACCTTTGATAACTAATTTGACTATAAACATAGATAAAAAAGATACAAACTGGACATAATGCACTAGTTCATAAACAAGTGAGAACAATCGCCTTCATATAGTGCTCAGAATATGACATTCATAAAACTTGTTCAATATCATTAGAGAACTCTAAATCTTAAATACTGAAAGCCACCTCTGATAAGTACACTGTACTATGCAAGATAATGATATAACTGGACTAAAAATACACACAACCTGTAATTAACTGCCTTTACAGCGCTTTTGCGCTTTGATTGAATTAAGTTTTACCCTTGTCCTTACGTCCCAAAGTTGGTTTCTGTTCTCTAACTCATGTATGTTAATACTGTTGAGATTGAGCAACATTTTTTTCCTGATGAATAAAAAAGATGTGATGTATACATCAATGAGGCAGAATACATCAATGAGGCAGTATACATCAATGAGGCAGTATACATCGATGAGACAGTATACACCAATGCAGTATACATCAATGAGGCAGTATACATCGATGAGGCAGCATACATCAGTGAGGCAGTATACATCAATGAGGCAGTATACATCAATGAGGCAGTTTACATCAATGCAGTGTACATCAATGAGGCAGTATACATCAATGAGGCAGTATACATCAATGAGGCGGTATACATCGATGAGGCAGTATACATCAATGAGGCAGTATACATCAATGAGGCAGTATACATCAATGAGGCAGTATACATCGATGAGGCAGTATACATCAATGCAGTATACATCAATGAGGCAGTATACATCGATGAGGCAGTATACATCAATGAGGCAGTATACGTACAGAACTTCTTGTACATGTTGTATTTACATGATGTGTGGTATACATCAATGAGGCAGTATAGGTACAGAACTTCTTGTACATGGTGTATGTACATGATGTGTGGTATACATCAATGAGGCAGTATACGTACAGAACTTCTTGTACATGTTGTATGTACATAATGTATATATACATTGTACATGTTGTACCAGTTCATGTAAATTGGAATTAAAATTGCCCAAAACATGCAGATGTATATAAAATAATACAGAAAATGTCAAAATAGATATTTCATATGTAATGTGTAGAAATGTATCAAAAGGTTTATGTCATATATTTGTTTGTTCCTTACAGAGTCGTACAAGAACTCGCATACTGGAGATAATTAAACATTATCAATAAGATGCTAGAAGGAGGAGAGGATTTAGACACACTCAACGGTACTCTACAGAGACACATAAACACACAGGCTGGTAAAACACTTCATAAATGTGATGTCTGTGCTAGAGAATTTAGTCAAAGTAGTCACTTAAAGAGACATGAGAGAACGCATACTACTAGTGAAAAACATCATAAATGTGATGTTTGTGCTAGAGAATTTAGTCAAAGTAGTCACTTAAAGAGACATGTGAGAACACATGCTGGTGGAAAACCTCATAAATGTGACGTTTGTGCCGGTAAATTTTCTAGAAATGGTTACCTTAAAAGACACATGAGAAGACATACTGGTGATACACCTCATAAATGTTATGTTTGTGCCAGTGAATTTTCTCGCAGTGATGAACTGAAGGCACACATGAGTACACATACTCATGATACTGGAGATAAACCTCATGACTGTGATGTATGTGGTAGAGGGTTTAGTCAGCTTGGTAGTTTACAGAGACACATGAGAACACATACAGGTCATAAACCTCACGACTGTGATTTATGTGGTCAACGATTTAGTCGGCTTAGTATTTTAAAGATTCACATGAGAACACATACAGGTGATAAACCTTATGACTGTGATATTTGTGGTAAAGGATTTGGTCATCTTAGTAATTTACAAATACACATGAGAACACACACAGGTGATAAACCTTATGAGGTTTAAATTATGGCCAAACATTTTTTGAAATGATGACTCATAGAGATTTATAAGAACACATACTGGAGATAGTCTTTAAACTGTGTTGTATGTAGTGTATGCATTCTTTAGAATCGAACCCTTCAGAAGCACTCAGGTGATTTACATGTATACATATTTGATAATGCATAGGTTAAAATTGAATTGTATATACATATTGTTTACCAAATGAATGTTATTTTTTTGTTAAAGGATTCGATGAATATCCATGAATGTACGGGAGTTCATCCGGGTATTAAACTATGTTAAAACATTAAGTGTGATATGACAATGTCATGAATGTATGAGAGAGTGCGTCCAGGTATTAAACTATGTTAAAACATTAATTGTAATATGACAATGTCATGAATATATGAGAGTTCATCCGGGCATTAAACTATGTTAAAACATTAATTGTGATATGACAATGTCATGAGTTATGAGAGTTCATCCGGGTATTAAATTATGTTAAAACATTAATTGCGATATGACAATGTCATGAATGTATGAGAGAGTTCATCCGGGTATTAAACTATGTTAAAACATTGTGATATGACAATGTCATGAATGTATGAGAGAGTGCGTCCATTGTGATATGAAAATGTCATGAATGTATGAGAGTTCATCCGGGTATTAATCTGTGTTATTTCAAACATTGTGTCAGATATCAGTGGCAGATCCAGAAATGTTAATAAGTGGGGGCCCACTGACTTCCTAAAAGGGCCCGCTCCAGTCATGCTTCATTGATTCCCAATATAATCCACCAAATTTTTCACAGAAAAGGGGGTGCTAGTGAATATTTTCGAAGTGATGAGCTAAAGGCACACATGCGTACAAATACTGGTGATAAACCTCATGACTGTGAAGTATGTGGTAAAGGGTTTAGTCAGCATGGTAATTTACAGAGGCATATGAAAACACATACAGGTGATAAACCTTATGGCTGTGATGTATGTGGTAAGCAGTTTATTCAGCATAGTATTTTACGAAGACACATGAGTTCACATACAGGGGATAAACCTCATAAATGTGATGTATGTGGTTAAGGGTTTAGTCGGCTTGGTAATTTACATATTTACATAAGAACACATACAGGGGATAAACCTTATGACTGTGATGTATGTGGTAAAGGGTTTAGTCGGCTTAGTAGATTAAAGAGACACATAAGAATACATACTGAGGATAAAGCAGATGAAGCTCACGATGAGCATGATGAGATATATGGGGTTGAGGTTCAGTGTGAGTGATATATAGACACATGATAACACATTCCAGTCAAATCAAGGAAAATCTAAT